AACAGTTAAAAGTAGCCCGAATGGTAGCAAATGACTACTGTAACCGTGTTGGCAAAGCTGTCGATGACTCCTTCTTTCGAAAATTGCTTACAAGCAAAATGTGGCGTGTTTGACTATCAATTTACTATCGAATGAACGAATCATGGAAAATATAGATTGTTCCACTGGGAGAATCGAACGACAGCAGTGCTGCTTCTTATGGCCTTGCCCCACCAGCTGTTTATTCGTAGAGCTGCAGAAACCGTAGTGAGAATATTTGTTGGGGGTGAAGTTGTAATGGATTGAGTAATGCGGGGTTAGGTGTTTAATGGATAGAATTTTTTTCAAAAATGAATTTTCTGAATTGTTTTGAGAATTTTTTCATCTCTTTTTTGGCGGATCATTGAAAATTTTTAGGCGGGTGATCGGGAAGATACTCGAAAAATCCACACAGCATCTAATGCTTCACTAGATGACGAAGTGCAAATTGTTGATGTCGTGCCACTACAGCCCTCTGTATCTCAAGGAAGACCTGCAAAAAAGGTAACTGACAAAGAAAATTTTCGGCTTCGTTTTTCAAAAAACGTCAACGTCGCCAGCAAGGCCGAAAATTTTGGAGAATTGCCAGCTGCACAGTTTGATGTGCAGCTGTTCGAGATACTCTTGTTTCAAAAAATTTCTGATTTTAATATAATTTTATATATCACCATTAATTCCTTTATTATCAAACTGTTGTTGAAAGCGTAGTTTCAAAAGCTTTTTTTATCCTGATCAGGGCTGAGAGAGCAGCGTGTCCACTTTTATAAGGAAGCATGCCCATATGAACTGTAGGCAGCCAAAATTTCGGCCTTCTGGCTTCGCTGGTTTCCGAGTTTTCACTTGCCCGCCGAAAATTTTCGCGGGTCCGTACGTAGGGACCACGCACGTCTGGGCGTTTGGTTTGAACTCATTAAGTCCTACTTGGACGGGGAACATTCCCTTAAAATTCGGGAAATTCCCCAGCTGTGTCCGAAATTGAAGCGATACGCCGCAACAGAAAGACGCCTTATCACAAGAAGTATACCACATGAAATGTGCTACCTTGTTTCTTAACCTCATTGCTTCCTCAGGCAAGGGACCTCATCAGTTAGCATATTCTTTTGTCGAAGTCTGCCTCTCCCTCCCTCGCTCTCTTCTGCTTTAACCCATGCAAATCACGGAATTTTCACTACAGTATTATGCATTTACTTGCAGATTCCTGAGGCTTTTTCTAGAATCGAATTGATCGCGCAGTTGAAAAATTTTGAGGTAAGAAATTTCTTTTTGCATCCGCATAGTATTTGTATGCTTTATTGGGAGTTTTAGAATGCTATGCACTAATGAATGGTACTCACAGGATTGTTATGATCGTTCTCGGGAAGGTGGTGCACCTGCTTATTAGACTGGGATGTACAAATTGGGTACCATCATTTTAAAGCAGAAAGGCTCAGACAGTTATATCGAACAGATTGGCGAATTTTTTCGGCAAATTGCGCAGACAGCAGAGAAATTGAACACTTAAAACATTTTTTAATATCAAAATTTTAGTTATTTAAAATAATTGAACTTCTTGGACAACAAATGATGTTATTCGGATGCTCCCACACGCCATTTGCAACTGTGCCAGGGTTTTTGATCCTGTACTGTATACCTCAAGTTCGTATTCACCACCTGTAACAGTCTTTATGTGCCTTGCCTTTGGAGGCCGCCCCCTAAGTGCTTGTTTTTAAAATATCTTTATTTATTCATTAGAGGATTTCCTCCTTTTTGACTTTCTGGGTCTTAACTGCTCTAAAGCCTAAACGTCGGCCGAGAAATGCTTCCTTTCTAGTTATTTCCTGTAATGCATGAACTGCAAATATGTATGGCGGTTCTGCAGGTTTTGATGAAATGAATGGTACTCGAATGCAGCAAAAATATCTCGATTTATTTAGAATTTGAAGCGTAACACTGATTTGTCGAAACTGCCA